TTTACAATTTCTAATCAATTCTTCATTAAAAATACATTTGGTAATGAGCGATCGATATTATTCGGGCTGTTTTATCGATCGCTTATCGCTGTCGCCCTATATCTACTTCTAATTCTTCTTACAGATAGATCTGGATAAATAGCTCAGATAAGGCACTGATTTATGTTACCTTTATATTACTTTTGATTTATTTATTTATTTTTTTTTTATTTACTATATAGTAAATACTACATAGTTAATAGTCGAATATTATATAAAAGCGATGGATAAACATGTATTTAGAATTACTCTTTAAAAGTAAATGACCGAACGCACATTTATATGAGTTATATTTTTCCATTACTCTAAATTCTATAATTCAAAACCAATTGCTAAGTAATTATTTTAAAACAATTGACTCACTATTTGACATCAATAAAATATTTGTATACATTAAATCTTTTTACTAAACTGAATTCTGTGTAATTTTAATGTCATCTTGTATAACTTCTGAATTTCTTTACATAATGATATAATTCATTTTTACTGCCTTTGATATAAATTTGAATTATTAATGTACATTTGCCAACTTGTATTATTTTCCCTATCTAAATTATAAGTTACTTGCGAAACTACGTTTTAACTGCACTTATTCAATTCTTTCAGAGAGAATAATAAGAGAGTATCAAGATTAATTATTTGTGAATTATTTATGATTACGTAACAATATTCCAAAAAATTGTAAAATGAAATATTTCTCGATATAATTTAAACGTCCTATCGTAATTATACTCAATAATCCATTTATTCGAAGATAAGGAAAAGAAAGAAGAAAGAAAAGCGCACAAAAAAAAACTTATGAACAATTTGTAAAATAAAAATCCATTGTACATTGGGAATTAAAAGCTGAAAGAAAATAGGAAAGAGCTTACAAACTATCCATCTAGTCATTCACTATCTACAGTTACGTATCTTCGCAATAACAAAGGACTGTAATGATAAAACGGAGAATCTCGAAAGAAACTTTGAGATTACACGAGCTCTACACTTATCAACAATACAACTTATTATCCTGACTTCTTTTCAATTATTTTCAGCGTCAGAATATTTAATTTCATTTACTGATATTATTAATTTTCTTAAATCAGCTTACGCGCCTAATTAAATTGATAATGAGCCATTATTAGATAACAAAATAAAAGACGAGATAAACCTCTCATGTTCCGGTAGTTAAATCATTAGTTTAATTTCCTTGCCAAGCCTTGCTACGTGAACACTTAGATATCTTACAATCATCTTCCTAATCAAGTGTTTATTTTGTATTTAGAACAAAAACATATAGCAAAACAAAATTGCATTATTTAGAAAAATATTTTAATAATATGAGGCTACATTGATATCTTACATAATTTATTACAGATTTTGGAAAATCAAATTTTTTCGATAAATGTATCAAAAGGTAGAAACAATTTTTTAATTATAATTATGAAAACTAATGCCAATAATGTTTATGATTTAAAAAAATACTTATTTCTATTATCATTGTTAATTACTATTAATTTTACTATTCGTAACATTATAACTATTGATATAAAACCATGAAAAACTCTTTCTCGAACATACTTTAAAAATACATTTAATAAATTAATTGATGCTTTAAAATTATCTGAAATTTTAAATGCAATATATTATTATTCTACATATTTTAACAATCATTATGATGACTCGACCGTGACAAAAATATATTAAAAATACATTTATTTCAACACACTCGTCAAAAATATTCTTAAGCGTATTTTCCTTGAAAATCATGACCGCTTTTGCTACTGAAATAATATATCGTTATAGTATATTGATTATTTTACTAAAGAACATTACAATACGGAGTCAGTGTTAGTAACTATGCTCACACGTACAATAAGAAACTCTCAAAAAACAAAAATATTAAAGTACAACATATATATCTCATCGAAGATACATACAAATATTTACTTTTACTTTCTCGTTTCAAAATTTAAGTACATGAAATTCTGTTCATTCCAATATATTTATAAATATCTTGACGTATAATAATAATGAACACGAATAAATTTATATTATTGATAATAACAGTAAATTGTGGACAAGAAAAAATTAGAAAAATTAAATCAATACCATTTTTACAGCTTTTCTGATTTATTTATCTATCTTCGAGTTTTATCAAATTTAGAGTTTTTGAACTTTAAATTTCATCGAATAATTACTATTGGATTCCAAATTTTACGTTCACTATAATTTTACTGACTTTTTCAGTTCGACATTCGATCTAATCATTTATTCCGTTTAAATGAGAGCTTATGAAACTATTAACAACATTATTTTAAATATGCATTATTTATCCGTCATGAAGCTAATGTCTCCCTCTCTTTCTCTTTTTCCATTTTTCTTCATATTTCTCTAATTTTACGTCAACCTTTCTCAGTAATTGTCTTAGGCGTGTGTGCACGCATATATGTATGCACTGTCTGAGATTGTTCGATAATATTTGTCATAACTAAAGTCCAAAAATTTAATCAGTTTTCTAAATGTAACTTTCATCTCTATTTTTTTTTTTAAATTAACGGTAACTGATGATTTAATAATTTTTAATATCAAATAATACTGAGAAATTAAATTATTATCCAATTACTTGCGTTGATCATTTTTAAAATTTAACATAAGCTATGTAAAATTATGTGAATATATTTCACTGGTCTTTCGAACTATTTTCAACCAAAATCTTATATCTTCACTTTGATTTTCCCAACAAACTGCGTGAAAAAATTTCTTATTGGAATCTACTTTTTTGCATACGCTGAAATTTCCTTCAAGCTGTGATAATTTATATATGCGACAGATTCTATTAAATATTTATATATTAAATATTTAAATATGTGAAAATCGACCCTTGATTCGAAAACTTAAGTTAAATTTTATTTCCTTATACAAAATTTGAATTTAAAAATGTATTGAAATCTCAAAACTTTATCGAATGTCAGTAAAAGCAATTTGAATTGAATGATATTAAACTGTATTAAATTTGCATTATATTTTGTAATCATATTAAAGAACATTAACTATTTAGAAATAAAGACAATAAAAAATATAATCTTTTACATAAAATAGCTATATTTCACGAAAAACGTATAAAACAATTTATCGTTTATTATATTTACAATATAAAAATACAATATTGCGCGCAGAATTTTAAATCGAAATTTCTTCATAAATACCTCGAATCTACACTACATCAAACATACAGCGAAGAAAAATAATGCTTTCGGACTTAATCAAATATATTTCATAAAACTTTAAAATCACCAAATGATATAATTTAATACGGTTAACTACATTTTTACAAAAATTGCTATACTGTCTTGGTCTTCTGAAGCTCGTTTTGCCCTAATGTTGCAAGAATCGTGGCATCTTATCCTCTCGCACACGACTTTCCGTAAGTCGGAGAGAGCTTCGCTACAATCTTCAAACTTCTCGGCTGACACTCCGCAAAAGCTCCAGGACAAACCCGAGTCTACGCCGGACACTCTCGCGATGAAACTTGTTGCAAGTCATAAACCATAAAGGCACGCGCTGACAAATCGCGGTCATGAAACAATTCGGTGCGTCAGCCCTTACTAAGATTTATATGTACGCTCGGAGTGGCCCATTAACATTGAAATGATCCGATATTTATTTTTCTACTCGGACATAACGAAGAAAACTGAAGTGAAGAGCAGTACTGATCGTATAACGAGATTCGCATAGAAAAAAAAAAATGAACGGAAGGAATTTTTAAGGGACGATCAAGAGCCTTTTCATCGACGAAATATTTCTCGGTAATCGATTAATCGCACTCTATCTTGTGAACAATCGCCTAGTCTTACGATGCCATGCTCAGTTTTAAATTACTTTGATAATCGTCTCGCTTTGATATTCGACAATGCTCTCATCGATGATTCTCGTATATTAAGTTGAAAAGGAAGAAATTGAACGTTTTATAAATTCTTTCATATGTAATGGAATAAGTGCAAAATAATGGGAAAAACTTTTATTTAATTTCAACATATCACGTATAATTCAATTATATTATATTAAAGTCATCTAATAACAGAGTTTATTAAACCAACAGTATCTTTATAAAATAATTAATATAGCAGAATTGATAGTTTACAATGTATAACAACAATGTATATATATATATAGTCAAATACTTTAGCTGTGCGTATCATTATTCCCCCCCCCTAAATTTATGCATAAAAAAGCATGTTACTTTGACAGAGACAAATTGATCAACTTTTATCAGAAGACTTGTACAAATCTAATACAACTGAATTACTTTGATAAAAAGTCAATTACGCTTTGTACGAGCTTTGACTACATGCACTTACTCTGCGAATTTCTCAGTAGCTTTGGATATAGATTGATAACGAGTGATAAAATCAAACATCTATAGTATATTGATATATACTATAGTTATGAAGATATAAGCCACTTTAGCGATATTTCCAGAATGTGTTGTTAAAAAAAAAAGTATTCAATGAAACTTCAAGCTTTTAGAGAATGTAAAATGAACGCACTAAAATTAATAGTATCTATAATGTCGATTAAAATTCAGTGGAATTAAATCTTTATTCGATAAGCAAAGAATTGTAAGATATGTTATTGTGCATAAAAAATTAGAAAACAAAGATTTATTACATGATTTTTCATATAGTTCAAGACCTATTTTTCACTGATTTTAATCAAAAGGAATTACCATTTAATTTAATATTTAATGCTTTAAGATTTCCTTTAACTACATTATCCAAAACATTTGTTTATTAATTTTGAAATGCTTTTATATTAAAATCAAATTTTATTAAACCAAACAACAATCACCCCCAAGTAGCTTGTGCATGTATTAAAAAATAAGGTTGGTTAATGAAAACGAGTTACACATTCATAGTTTATCGTCAGCTATCGCAGCAAATTTCCTAAAATTTTATCTGATTTAATTAACGATATTACGAAGTTTAATTGTTCATTTAATACGTACGTTTTCCGAAGACACAAATTTTTAAAAAGCATTAAGTAATCTTAAATGCGTAGAATGTTTTAACAAAATAGAAGAAATATAGGATTAAATGGAAATTCACATCCCTTTTATTATCCAAGTTTATTACTGTGCTTGCAAAATTAATATGCCTTGCGACTAAATACATCTGCACCAGCCACAATTAATAACGTTCCAACAAGCTTACACTCCTAACCTACAATTCTAGATTAATAAACACATGACTAACGCAAAATAAATTTACTACTTAATGGATACTTCATTATCTTAACCAAGTGAAATAATCTAATTAATTAATTAATCAAATTCAACTTCTGGCAATAAATACCCAGTTCCAATAACAATGATAAAATACTAAATAGACCTAGGAAGTTGTAAACAAAGTAAAAATAATTGACGTACATAGAAGGATTGTTTGCATAATTAATTTCATTGTAATATTACTAATGTACACGATGCATTAATTACGTTAAATTCGGAATTACCTTATGATCAATTATTAAAAATCTAATTAAAAATCCTACAGCTTTAAATATTTATTATCCGATATATCGATTCTTTGTTAAATAAATTAATATTCTGTATAAATGAATAAAAATTGAAGTACTATTGCTTAATATATGCGGTGCATCGTGTTTCTTTTATTTTTTTCCTTTTTTTTTTTATTGAAAATAAAAATCTTATAAAATTTCGTTGTCATACTGTTATACATAAAACTACATAAAACGTTTCTCTTCGTGATCTCTTTCACAATTTTCCAATACTATTTTCAAGTTTGAACGATGACCAGAGCGTATATATTATTAAAACACTATAATAAGTTATTATTATATAGTTATATTTATTATATAATAAATTACTTACTTAAGTACTGTAATACGATCATATATCTGCATCACGAATCTATTTCATACTTCAAAAAACTTTTAAAGTAATTCTACACAATGCCAAACGGAATATGTAATGGTCGATTTCTAATTTGGATGTAATATATAATCAAATTGAACTGAAGCTCATATTAATATTTTAAATAAATAGGATCGTGTGTGAAAAATTGAAGACATTTTAAAAATTAATAATTATGTGAAAGCTTAATAATAAAGCTTTCGATGATGTGTATTTCAATTATATTAATGTTTAACCATTTTTTACCCAAATAATTACATTTAACAGAGATTGATTTTACTAAAAATATTTCATGCCATTTTAATTACATTATTCAAAAAAATTTTCATTTTTATATTTTTATATTTATAATAACGAAGAAAATTATTATTCTTTCATTTTAATAGCTCTAGAGTAGGTAAAACTTTGTAATACATATTTAAAATAATGCCAATCCTTCATAAATTGAAACCAATTCTATTTAAAGAAGCACAAATTCTATACAATAATATTCTATGTAAAGCAGTATTAACAACGGCATTTTTGTATTCACGGTTATTTTCCAATAAATTCATATAAGCAAGTAATTGTAAATTTAATCATAAATAATAAGTTTCATTAATACCTGAAACTTTTAATACATAATCAAGTATATTTTACTTTTTTAAGCGTAACAAGAAGTCATTGTTAAAGGTCTATATTTTTTAATTTAAAGATTATTTTTATATTCTTATCAAGTATCAGTAACGTTAATGACTTTTTTATATCACAAATTATCTATATGAAAATTTAAAACAACAATATACAAAGAAGCCCACACTATTATTGTAAAAATAATAAAATTTCTAGACATAAAATAATTTTCAACAATAAATTGAAATTTCTTTCACAAAGAAGACTTTTTACAAATAATGCTGATGAGACTTTATAAATACAGCTGAAATAAGATATAGATTTGAATTTATATAAGAAACATTCAATTTTGTATCTAAACAAGGCATTTTATAGATTAAAACAGTCAATTTCCAGATCTACCGTTAAATCGCCGAAAGCTACAAAACGGATCTACCTTATACCTGACTGCATGTTCTGAAAAATAAGGCACATCGTAAAATACTAGCTCTTATGTGTGTGCGTGCATTTGCGCTCACAAAAACAATACGATGCAGATTAAAGGAGGGAGGCGAGGTGATGCTCGTGAATATCAGAATTCAAATAACAATGACGGCATTCGTAAATATTGAAATTCGTAAATATCGAAATATTAGGATATACACTTTTTACGTAAAGTGTTATATAAAAGACGAGTATTTTCTTAGTAAACAACTATTTGCGGCTTACTTTGTTATTATTTGATATTACTTAGTAAATTTTTCAAAATGTATCAGCGATTAAAATTTAGGATTGACAATTTAATTTACAAGGAGCACAATTTTAAACAAAATATCTGTGAAGACAGAGCGAGAGAGAGAGAGAGAGAAATAAAATAAGAGAAAGAAAGATGAGAAGGAATGGAAGAACTTATGACATGTAAGCGTCATTGGCCTTTGCTATTGGTACGCTCGTATTCACTACCAGAGAACCTGAGGTAGGTGAATCTCGCTTGATTGCTCTCATTTCATTGGGAATTTCAAAAGGATCGATGTAGGGCCTCGTGAGTAATTAACACTTTTCGAATACTCTAGACAAAGAGGATTCGATTCGGTAAAGCAAATGACAAAATTCGCTCGACGAAGCAGTAGGTACGCCTCCATCCCTACTTTAAATTCCAAAAGACTACGACACCGCAGTATCCCGATCTCGTCGTTTCTTCCATTTTCACAAGCCATTTCTAAAGACAAACCGCACTTCTTAGATCCTCACCGATAAGTTTATTTAGACCATTTGACCTTTATAAGGTAAGCATAAACCAAAGCCTTTCGAAATTGTAACCTTCTTACGGCGTGAGAAGCGGACATTTTTCGTACAACAAACAGTCCCATCAAGGAGAAAGAGCCTCGTTTACTTTGTCGGAGAAATATCGTCGTCAAGGTAAAAAAATGAATGCACTCTACGAGGAATCGATGAAGTACCCGTAAATGTTAAAAGATCCTAAAACTATCTACCTTTTCAGCACTTAATCTATACGAAAAATATTTTATTTTTCATAATTTACTAAGCAAATTTTGACAATAAATTCTGAACTTTATAAAATATATAAAATACTCATTGAACGTCACACGTTTTATCATTTCTATTTATATATATATATATGTATAACTATATGTAGCTTAACTATATATATATATATATATATATGTGTGTGTGTGTGTGTGTGTGTGTGTGTGTGTGTGTAATTAAATTATTTTGTGAATTATTAATAATAATATTTTAAGAAGAGGAATATATTAAAATAATATATTCTGATAATTTCGATATTATCTTTCTGAATTCATAAATTTAAAAACAACATTCTCCGAAATTAAAAATCAATTGCTTTAAATGGATAAAATCTTTAGTCGATTGTAATAGAATAAATTATAGATATTTATCGTTCAAGTTATAATACTTTCTGTAATATATATCTTCTTCGAGTATTCCGGCGGTTTTATTTATTGAACGTGCTGTCACATAACTATGAATTTCATTAATTAATGGCATACTTCTTCATTTAAATAGTAATTTAAATTATAATTAATTAAGAAAGAATAGATTTTTTAAATATATTTCCAATTAATAATAAGTTATTAATGACACAATTCTTAAAAGAATGGCTGCAAATTTGGCTCTTATTCATTATCGATTTATCTCATTAAAACCAATTATATAAATTATTTTTTTATAAATCTTCTCTTAAAAATATGAGAGTAAAATTTACTTTCATGCTTTCCAAGCTTCAATATGAACAACTTAACATTTTAAAAGAATCGTTAATTTGCTTCCAAAGCAATAGATGATTGAAAATATCTAAACCTATCTGCGTATTTACATATTTATTAATTTTATTTTGTATATTATATTTATTTCATTACATTATAGGCAAATATATATGTATGCGCGTATGTGCGTGGGCGTGAATTTTGTTTGAAATAGAAGTTTTTATTTACCCTAAATTCAAAAGACAAAGGAGTAAGCCGTTTGACGATTAATCAAGTTGGAGAAATTAGTATGCTTAAAAGGGGGAAACATTTCCTGGGATTAGTAAATGGCCCACCCAGTAATTGGGCAAGTATTTTAAACTTAAAGGTAATTAACAATAATCGTTGAGAACGGTAATTAGCGATAACGAAGAATGAAGAACATTAACGGCTATAAACGTCGACAAATCCAAGTAGCGAGCTTTCAATGACACTAAAATAGCAGGTGTTCTGGTAATTGAGCAAACGACAATCTCCTTCGTAAATCTCGAGTTTCTTCATTTCTTCATTTCTTCATTTCTTCCTTCTTATCCGCTACTATTTATTCGTCACTTCATCTCTTTCGATTATCATACTTTTCTCTCACTGTATCGAATCGTTTATGTGAAGTTTTTCTTTTCTAAGTAAAAGAAAAAGCAAAATATATGCCACTCTACGAGTATTGATAGACTCGTCAATTATCACAGTCTGCTTATAACAAAAGCTTTGGACTCAATTTTATTTTACAAAATAGAGAAATTTAAAAATGCACTTCTTTATTATCAAAAACTCTCTTTATATAAAAAGAAAGTTCTCCAGAATTAAATCATTCGGCTATAGTAAATGAATTGCATTTCACTGTAATCAGAGCTTTGATAAATTACGAAATTTCCGTTTGCGGTAAATAATCAATTTTGTTTGGTGAAATTTTCCGGTTGTTTTTTACAACATCGAAGATTTCCCTTGTCTCGAGATTGATCAACTTTCCGTTAAAATACGTTTCTTTTTATGTTAAATCGTATTTGAGTTAATTCTGGCAGGAACTAATTGAATACTCATTAAACCCTTCGGTGCTTAAATCAAGAACTTCCTCAATATAAATTAGATTAATTCTTGATACAATATGTCCTTAATTCACATATTTTTATAAACTTTTATAAAATGTACTTGAGAAATGAGTATTATTTATTAACGTCAACTACTCATTAATTTTGTAAAATATATTTATTAACAAAATACTTTTATTAAAATATTTACAACAATTAATGGATATTTCATTTTATGTATATTAATTCTAATATGTTTTGTCAAAATAATCAAGGTAACATTAGATAAAAAAGACACCGACTAATTCATGTCAAATTCATTCTTAAGCAATGTCAACAGCAATTGTTGAAAATTTTGCGAGTAACGGAAAACTTATTATAACACTAAAAATATATTGAAAATAATTGTAACCAAGACCATTTAGATTCAGAAAAAGTTACGTAAAATAATTGAACTGTAAATTGATTCCGTATCTGTTTCTTCCACGCTTTCGCGGATCACATTTTTTCAATACGTTTTTACTATGAACTTTATAACTCTTACTTATCAGTATAAAACTTTTATAGCATTTCAATTGACTCAATATCCATATTGTCAGAAACGTGAACCTAAAAAATTATATTAAAAACGAAGGCTTTCAGTTTACTATGAAAACAATTAGTATTTAAACAATTGTTCTAAGCACAAATCTTCTGTTCTATTCAATTTTCTTTTTCTTTTTCTTTTTTTTTTCATTTCAATTTAATAGTTATATTACAAAATATTGTACACTTACAGCTAGATATCGTACGAGTGTATTTAAAATTTCATGCAATAAAATCATTTTGTTCGTGTAATATATTGTATGTTTATAAACTACCATCTCTCAAAATATAAAAACTTAAAACAAAACATCGAAAATGTCGAGAAAAAATAGTAAAAAAAAGTTTACCGACTGCATAGTTTATATACCAATATTCTTCACTAAAATATACCGAAAAAATTTATAAAACATCTTATCCTAATATTTATTTTGTTGTTTTTTATAAACAATATATTACTAAATATGTTAAAATGTATATTAAAAATAACTACAATAATTATATTAATATTTTGATTAGAACTTATATTGTAACTATTCACAAATTCACATACGAACGCTTATTACAATTTTGATATCGAACGGACTTTATCTATATCACATTAATTATAAAAATCAAGCAATCTGGTCAGAATTAATCAACAATATTGAAACTCCTAACTATTTGAGATAAAACAAAAAATTTATAATATTGAGTACCACAGCTCATTAGATAAAATATTATATAATCTCTTGCTTCAGTATTTTCAATTGAATTCAGTTTTTTTTTTCACTGGCAAAAATGTTCAATTTTATAGTGGAATTAAATACGTTTAATATAAAACCTGTCTAAATATTCCTAAACCTAAACCTACCTAAATTCCTTCTAAAAACAGTATACGTATAAAACGGTTTACGAATAATCCATTTACTCTGACTAAATTGAAGTTAAAATAGTCATTAAAATAATAATAAGATTATATAACGAATAATAAAATTCTTATAAATTGCGCTAAAATTGAGCTCGTACTACTTTTAAAACATTTCATACAATTTTAAATATGCATAAGAATGAGCAATTGAAAGAATGAATTGCTTAATATAAGTATAAATTACTAGAATAATTATTTGTTACATAAATATAAATATTAAGTATCTATATATATTTAAAAATGTACAATGAAAGATTCGAAGACAAAAAGTGAAAAAAAAAGACTTATGGGCTCAAAGTATTTGAATATTACATAATCCAAAAATTTAAGCTAATAATAAATATGTAAATATATAAATTTATACTTTTTCAATGATAATACTAACAATCTTATAATCTAATGATTTTGTAATATTATTATAAGGAAAGAATAGAGTAATGAAAATGTGTCCCAATATAAAGAATTTATCGAAAATTATTATATTTATCCAAGATATTACATTTTAAATATTCGATAATTTTTTGTTGTATTTTGAAATAACCTGTCCGATCAAAAAACTTTTCTAATTACAAAGTACAAAAAAATCATTGTTGCAATAGTTGTAATGATTTCATTGAGTTTCATTTGTAAATCACAATATATATAAGATTTCTATGAACCGCAACGCATTTAGTCGATTACTACCCGTGTATTATATAGAATTTCAAAACATACGCACGCACGCACGCATGCACGCACGCACGGACCCAAGCACGCAAGCACCCACATATAACACAATCAATAGAGCTTAATTTTGTGTATTTAGACATGTTAAATTAGATCGATTAATAAATCGTATTGACTAACAGCCAATCGCGATGCAAACAGATAAGAGTTTCATCTATAAATATTACAATTTACGAACATGTTCAATGATTTCATAATAAAAGGCGTAGTTGAGACTTAAAAGGCACTAGTAAGTTTAAAAGCAGCAACTTGTGAGTTTATTTTTCACCTCGAGATGAAATCTTTAAATATAACTCCTTGAGTGACGGCCCTTTCACTTTCTTACCATTTTCTTCTTCCCTTCTTTGATTCGAAGCCACGAGAATAGAAGATATGCACAATGTATGCGGAGGCAAATGGATTGTTTGCAAAAATTTGCATAGCGCTATTTTAAAAAATCTATTCATAATATGGCTACATTCAAATAACATATTGTCAGAAGGAAAAGACGATTGAAAAAATACGTGTTGAAGAAAGTAGAATTCAAAGTGAAACGATGATTATTTTTGATAAATTCATACAAATCTCTACATCAACTTCTTTTAATAATAATGTTACAGAAAACTGTTTACCTTAAATTTTAGTTCTATTTATATAATAAACTATTTTATAATATTGTGATGTTATAATAATTGTGAATTTTATGCAGATTTCATGTGCACTAATTTTCTGAGACATTAATAATAAATATTTCAAAGAAGATATTATGTAATTCCATGCAAAAATTTACTTTGGATAAAGTAATTTATTTGTTTAAATCCAGAGACAGCGATCGTAGAATATTCTGAAAGATACATTTATAATACTTAAATTATATTTTACCTTAATCAAATCTATATTATATTTGAACTCTTTCTAACTACTTCGATCTAACGATATTTTGTAAAACAAAACAAAACAAACAAAAAAAAAATAAAAAATAAAAAAAAATATGTTCAGATTGTTCGTTGAGCAATTGAATGAAATATGCCCCAATGTACTTCAATATAAATGAACAATATATTAATGTAATAAAATAAAATAACAAGAAAGCTCAATATACAAAAGTCCAAGCTCAATATAAATAATGATTCGACGATTTTAATCCATCGAGTAGTCTACATATAAAAATAAATCGCCCATTCTCATAAAGCTCGCGTGGAGACATCTTGACAGACCTTTGCGCGCCCATACGTAAAATACACCTGTTTGTTATTAATGATCTCGTGATATTGTCAGAATATCCACTCGTCCTCTTACAGTCTTCGATGCACATACAAATGTAGGCGAAAGGAGTTGAGTAACGGCAACCAGCCATTAATCTCTCTGTTGCAGGCAACGTATTCGTGATAGCGGCCATACTACTGGAGCGCAACTTGCAAAGTGTCGCGAATTACTTGATCCTGTCGTTGGCTGTCGCCGATCTTCTAGTGGCTTGTCTCGTCATGCCTTTGGGTATGTATGTTTTTCCTTGCGCTTGGCGATTAGAAATCGAACACGAGGCGCTAAGTGGATTCTACTTCGCGTACAAAATACTTAGCACAATCATAAATAAATAGCGCTACCGCTCCTTTCTTTCTCTTTTCATATAAAATTACATTTTCTAAGTCCTTTTAACAACAACAATTATATAACGATTACTCATAATAAGATTCTTTATGATTATATTAATGATAACAAGCGTGATATAATAATGTTTGGACATATAATGTTTGAAAACTATAATTTATGGGCAATTTTTGTTAAATAATATTATATCCGTCAAAAAAAGGACAAAATAAGACTATGTAATTGAAATACATAATTAAATTTTATACGTGGCAAATTATTATTATTGTTGTTAAATTGCATTGATATTTTACAAGTTCAAAATATTTGCAAAAAATGATGATAATGTTTCGTTGAAAAATCTTGATACTAACAGTCCGATAAACATATTATTATATTAATAAACGATGCTGTTTAACAGGATGAAATTATTCTTGATCAATAGGATCAGATGATCTTAAAGTTACTTTCAACAACTTCTAAAATGTCTGACAAAAGCAGGCACTGAAATAAAAACGGGGAAGACTGTCGAAAATAATTTTGGGTTTTTTTTTTTTTTTTTGTAATCAATAATTATTAACTTTTCATTGAAATATATTTAGAACTTAATCTCACGGATTCGTTATTAGTTCCAACTAAAATATATAACTTTCACTGGAGTATCTTGCTGTAAGATCGCTAATCCTTTTCCACATACGACATAAAGTTCAAACTCTCTTATTTCACAATAAAAACTAAAAGAAATAAACTAAAAGAAAATAATTAATCTCCCCGATTGGCTTTTGGAGTTTGAAGTGAAAGATACGCTTGTAACAGCCACGGATCAGAAAAAAAATTATCGAACCAATGAATAATATAGCAACTGCTATATTTTTTGTTTTTTTTTTTTGTTAATTTTTTTTTTTTTTTTTTACGTCAAATTCACATTAGAAGCTAGATTATATAGATAAAAGTAGGTGTATAATATATAAAAGTGATTCGGGAACATTTGCGTCTCGCGCTCGCATTCATTTATATACACCGGAGCACATACGTAGAGGTGGATGGCTAGGCATACGGCCCAGACGTTTTAGTGCGGTATTGTTGGCAGGAGCCGTGTACGAGGTTGCCCATGAATGGGCTCTTGGTCCTGAATTATGCGACATGTGGACCAGCAGTGATGTATTATGCTGCACAGCTTCCATTTTGCATTTGGTGGCCATCGCCCTTGACAGGTTGGTTGCGCATGATTTTTATTTTTCTCCTCTATTACTCAGTAGTTCTCCGTCCACTCTTTCATTTCTCCATTGTTCGCTGTTACGGACATTGATCAACAGAAAGATGGAGCTTCCGTGATTAAAGCGACCGCTGTTGTTGCTGCTTTTACCACCGTATCCGTTACATTTACACACTATTCCAAATAAACCAGCGGAAACTATTTGTAATATTTAAAAATAAGTTCATTTGTAATATTTGTTATTCGTTCAATGATTTTTGGGGTACTTTCTTCTTTCATAAATGCAACATTAACCCTTAAAAACAGCAATTTATAATTAGTTTTCAACATTTTTTTATTTTCTTATTGGCTTACTTTACGTTTTATCATTAGACGATAATAATTCTTATTTAATTTATACCTTTCTTATTCATGTAAAGGATAAATCGATTTATATATTTCATAAATTGTAATTTCCTCTTGATATTCCAGTATTTTAAATATTTCTTAATACAAAATTTCTCATATAAATTCCTTATTTGTTTCTTGAATAAAATTTATCCAACGATAATAAAGGTGTATTATATAAGCTATTGCCGAGCCACTTTTACGTGTGTAATATATAGTATACAAATAATTGTCCATAATTCAATAAACTTGTTTTGACGCACAAAGAAGTTGAAACTAAAGTTCTAATAAATTATCCACGAGTCTTAGAAATATTCAAAACAGCATGTCCATCAAATGACAAAAAAAGAAACAATATTAAGAATCTTCAGCGCAATAAAAATATAAACAAATGCTTTTAAAAACTTGCAAAGAATATAGGGTAATGAAAACGAAGTTAAAAAATAATTTAAATCAATTGAAATAAAGGTATTTTAATCGTTTTTATACTGTATAATTTTCTAGTTCATGCCCTTACAGATAATATCATCCATTATACATAAAAATGTTTTATATAAATATGAGAATAAAAATATTATTAATTAAACCTCGTGAAAAGATGATTAATCCAATATTTATAGATTAACATGAAAATCGATGCAATAAAATTTTGAAATAAATTATTGTTCGTACAGTGAAAAAGATTTGAAAAGGTTTAAAAAAATTTTATTTTTAACCTAATGTACATGTAAAAGAAAAGTATAGTAAACATAAAACAACTATCACAAAAAAATGAATTAAATTACTTTTTCAATATTACGAAATACTAATTACATTTTGATAGTTTTTATTTCAATATAAATACACTCGAATTCAGTAAAAACAAATACGTAAACAAAACCACATAATATTTATTCAACATATAAAAGTCAATCAAACATGAAATAAAACAAATTGCTAATTTCATAACTACATTCGGAAAATTTACTAACATTATTTCAAAAATATTACATATTATATTAGACCTTACAAAAGTGGTAGAAGATGACTAGAACATGACTAGTATTGTGGATTTTCCAACAAATAAATTTTGTTAAAATCTTACCCTATTTAAAATGAATCATTAAGTATAAAATGAATTTAAATTTAATTACTCCAAGTTGTCGTATGCTAAAAAAAAAAAAAAAAAAAAAAAACCCATATATTACTCCTCCGCACAACAGACACACATATCTACAAATATAAAGCCACAGAGCATACATAGAAGTGCTAAATCTTTTATGAGCTTAATCGCATAAAAGCAATATCCAACTATTGTGCGTTCCTCACGTACAAAGGAGTTAAAATCTAACGACAAAAGCTCATAATAGAATCAATAATTCCACACTAGTATGTAGTTTGTAGTTTGTGAGAAAGTATAAAGACCTTCCGGAATACTTAGTATCAAGCTGTCTGGGCCGATTTTAGGAAAATTTAAAACATAGTGTGATGGCTAATTAAAAGGGGAATTAATTTGTATTTACAAGGAATCTTGTAGCAGCGAACAAAAGCCTATCGCAAGCTATTAAGCTATTAATTAAACAAAACTTACTCACTTACTACAATTTGCTTATTGTAACGAAAATTCTAACCGTTAACATTAAAAATACTAACTACTTAGTCATCTAAATGTGAGAAATAATGATATATATTGCAAATTTCATTTGTTATGATAGTAAAACTATTATGAATTTTTTCATATTAAATAATAGAAATTCTGAGATATACTTATGATATATGAGATGAATAAAACGAAATAAAAATTAATTTTATTTAAATGGGAAATTATTCGAATGAATGTTAATAGTTTTTCAACGAATCCGTTAACGAATGTAGAATATACTGTTTTATGCCGATGATTTAAATAATTAGAAATTACATTTCAAAAATAGTTTAATATACAAAAGAATGTACTGTGAAATAAAAAGAATTAAATTCTGATGAAATTTTTACAAGTATAATACAAAAGTTTGTTTTTTTTGTATGAGTATGAAATGTTTAATAAATGAGAAAGACGTTCGTTAGTTGTATAAAAATAAAAATAATAGTATCATTCATAATTATCGTACCACTAAGCACTTAAATATTTGATCGCTTAAAAATATAGATGCTTTATGAAAAATAAATTTTTTAATTAAAAAATATATTTCTTTCTCAAACTTATGTTTTAACTCGAACATCAACTTCTTAGAATAGTAATTTAAAATTATAATACGACCACATAAATGTATCGCTATAGCCGTATAGTTTTAATACTAAAATATAAAACTTCAAAGACAATATTAAATGATTTTCTGCGCATTATATAAAAACAAAAACAAAACAAAAAAAAAACAAAAAAAAATGTTCATATGATATTATTGAATTATGAGTCACAGAACAATGAGTCGCAGAATTATCAAATCAACAATCAATAGTAAAATATTGTTCTCAATTTAATTTATTTAGAATGCAAACAGAATTGCAAAATTAAAGTATTAGTCGTAGATAATTCTATATCATTCGAAATATTCGTTTGAGAATTTTAGTTAAATTAGTATGCGAGCTAACTAGAGTACCAAACTCGATCCTAACCCGAACTTCTCATAATAGCGAATTTCCTTTGGAGTATTTCCTTGTCTCATTCGTTTCAAATAACTCCCTTTTCGAAGTCAAGTCAAGAATTCAATTACATTTATTTTCAATTAAGAGGAAAAAGTCTAATAGCCTTAGTGGCCATCGACAATAAGCACGGGATGTGGATAACTACTACACTGCCTGCAGAGAGAATACAAACCATAAATTTTGAAAAATTGTCTGTGGTAAGAAGAATGTATTAATCAATTTAATATAACTATCCATGATATTTCCACTATGGTATGTTTTTTTTTTTAAATACATTAATTCGTATGTTAATCTTTATTTTTTTACACTATTTTTTGAAGCCGTTAATGTGACTTGTATGACTAACTCTGTTATACTATGTTCAAAATTCTAATATTCAATAAATTTGCATCTAAATATATATGAATAATTTTAATATTTGAGTTTTTTATAATGAAATCTCTTCTTTTTTATAATCATATTTGAAAATTTTCATACATACTTAAACGAAAGAAACGATAGTATTTATAAAAAACTATATTATTTATAAAAGTTATTTGTTATTAATTATTATTAATATAATATTTATACTGAACTTTTAAAACATATCGATAATGTTTAATGTAATTTTCTCTCTCTCTCTCTCTCTCTCTCTCTCTCTCTCTCTCTCTCTCTCTCTTTCTCTCAATCTCTCATTTTATCTACTTGCACATAATTATTTTGTAATTTCGAGTACTTAAATATTTAAGAAAATATATAAATAGAAATTCATATTTTTTAAACTATTTAACATCGTCACTTTAGATTTATATATTTGTAGTTATGTGTAATAAGATTTTTCATTGTCATTCAAAAATAAAAGTATGAATAAATTTTAAAAATTGATATATTATAAGGACGTATTTACATCTTAAAACTGAAAAATGACTATTTATATAAATTAATATAAATTTATTACTATTAATATAAATTTAAATCTTTTGATAATTGGGTACCTTATATGTGCATAAGTTCCAAAATTATATCGTATAATATATTTGTACATTTTACAAATGATTAGCGATTTTCTTTCCGGGTAAGAATAAAAATATTCATCGAAAGTTTTACTTAAATCAATTAGTTTTATCCAGTACTTTGTTAGAAAAAAAAAAGTCATAACCTTATTAATAATCAATTTAAAAATTCATCTCAAATAATATCCTAATTGTAAAAACCAAAAACAAAAATTAAATTACCAATTACAAATTTAAAAATAAAGTAATTTTTAATATTTCTTTCCATTAAATTTAATCTATCGCTACCATAAATACTACTGTGAATTGATTGTTTACAAGCTAATAATTTTACAATTATGATCTACTTACAACAAATTTTCAATTAATAATCATAATTAATAATGTTTGATGTATTATCTAAACAAAATAAAATGAATCTTATATGCATTAAAAAAGTGTTAACCTAAATTAAAAATCAAAACCTTATTCATAATAGAAATGCTTTCGTTGTTACTTTTAGTTATTCGTTGTACATTACAAACAATAGTTGCACAAAGATGACCAATAAAGCATGAAGCTTTTATAGTACAAAGTACCCTCCCAATATGTATATATATATATATTCTTCTACTTTGGTAAGAAAGAAATCAAATAAATGGAACTATACATCGGCTCGATAAAACTTTTTCACTCTATTTTCTTTGCTGTTTTTTTTTTATTACTGCAACTATCGCATGACCTGTTTTTAGATAGTATGGGATAGGATGGAATACGTGAACCGGTTAACCACAAAAAGTTTTTTTTAATTTTTATAAATATACATTTATTTATAAATATGCTTTATCTTCATTAAAAAAGACTGATTACAAAAGTTATAGTTAATTATTATTCTAAATTTTTTTTATGAATTTTAATTGTTTTCTATTAATTGATATTATTTTGACAGTATTATCATAATATGAATAATACAATAACTTTCTAGTAATTCTAGTAGCTGCTTGTAATTTATCTATGT